ACCCAGGATTTTGGACCCATCTCCTGGTATCCTGGTCAGTGCCCTAAATCTTCCGGATAATTTTATATATTCCAGATATTACAATTTTTTTTTTGCTAGGTACGCCAATGGAATATGGATTTTCTTGGGTTTTCATTCCTTCCTTCCTTCCTTCCTTCCTTCCCTCCCTTCATTCGGCGACGTCACGCCCCTTCCGTATCGATTTTCCAGATCTGGATACTTCAGGGGCTGGCAGCCCTGCAGGCCATTTCACACATCAATGGAAAAAGGAAATGTTAGTGTAAGAAAAGGAAAAGGTAAAATGTGATTAAAGATTAACGTCAACAAAGCTAGAAAGTAACAAGAAGCAAAACTTACTCAAAGGCGATAAAATTGATGTCGGCGTTCTTTCTGATGCGATCTTTCGTTGTCTTTTACGATTGATTCGCTCTGTAAAATGCATRCAAAATGGCAAAAATAATATACAATATACAGTAATACCTTTGTTTTGAATACTGAGAGACTTGAGAAATAAAGTAAACATAGGATGTTTTTCCATGTACATTTGGGAACATTCCTTCAATGATTAGTGTTGTCCAATCACAAAGCGCTAACATCCCGTGCGCACGTTGGTATGTGTGGCGTTGGCTTGATCCAGYTTTTCGTTTTATAAAATTTACATGGGCAAGGACAAGGAAATACAACACATAACTTTGCTTTTAGGCAATTCAAATGATAAAAATRGGATATATACAGGGGAAAAAGCGATACAGAGCTGACGTAAGCTCTTCGCCGCTCTATTAGCCCATCTCGTCGATGAGCGCTGTATTTTCAAACGCGAACCGATCTTAATTCACGTCACTCATCTTGTCTAAAACGTGAGTACATGAGAATCTTCTTTTATTCCTTGGCGACATGTGATTGARAATGGTTCTAGTACAGAGGTCTTTCCTCAATTCCTTCCCCCCTCCTTCCTTCCCTTCCCTTTGTTTCCTCCACGTACCAGCACTGTTCCTGACATCATCTTCAAACGCTCTTGGCTGCATTGACTTGGTTCTTTTAAGTTTCCCTGTTACGAGTGGYGTGTGGACTTCGTCAACAACAGGGAAGAGGTCTTCGGGGACTCTTTTACCAGATTCTCGACAGCTTTCAACCCACAGCACGTTGACCAGATGAATTCCCTTCTTCAAGGCCTTCTCTCGAGTTGATTTCTTGCCGTCTTTAAAGATCTAAAGGTAAATTAGAAAAATATGCTTCACCAAGCTCTTAGATGGCAATATCATTTGRCGCGCTAGCAACTGRTCAGCAACTATTTTTAGATTTTTCAACTTTTTTTGCAACATTTTCAAAGCTTTCAAAACTCATACAACTAACTGCAGTTTTTCGATGCTCTATCTGTAAGCTCCTTTTCTTCTTTTTTTTTTTCTTCCAAAAATAATAATGAATAAAGATTGCTGTGTTTCGCAGATTGGGGAAGGGGCGGCAATACTAATAGACACTTAAATTTTTGAAGGTGTTCTTGGTTAATAGATATTATTAAATACACTCTTCCACAGTCTGTGGAAGAGTCTGATTAATAATATTCATTATTGTGTGTGTGTGTGTGGGGGGGGTTAGGTTGAATGAGAGGACTATGAAATTTAAAGATGACAAAGTAAATATACCTCTTTCACTTGGGCTTAATGTTTTCCCATTTCAGACCACACATCATTCCCTAGAGTATCATTTCTTTGTTTAACGGTTGCACATGAAAAGCAACACAAATATGGATACAACTCAAACAATGAATCTTTTTATCAAGAGAATGACATGTGGTTTGAAAAGGGAAAACAGTATTGCCAAAGGTAAAGAGACCTGTCGATTCCTATGACACATAAAACAAACAAGAAAGTTAACATACATACCACATGAGTTACTTCTGGAATAAACTTTTTGACAACCTAAAAAACAGTATTCAAAAACAATAAACTAAATACCATAACCAACACGTAATTATTCAGTATTGAAGAACTTAAAATGGTTTCACATTTGAATCATACACTTCAATACAAAACGTGGGTGCACATTGCAGGAATGTATACTGTGATATAAACGTGCTGGCAGCCAAAGAGCACAAGAGAAGCAAGATTAATAGGAGGAACAGTTCATTATTTCTCTTCTCTTTGAGTTTTTTACAAGCTACCAGAATGTTTTCCAGTATATTGAAATTGTACAAAGATAAAAATATAGCTTATTGGTTTAATGAAATATTTTAAAGGATTTTGAGCAAGCGCAAATCTTTGTCCATAGTTAAAAAGTAGCAAAACCAATCAATCAGCATATACCTTATATAACAATAATATGTATTTACTTCATGATGTAGAGCAAGACATTTTAAAGGTGTAAGGTTTCCTGATTTCAGATCACATGTCATTCCCTAGAGTATCATTTCTTTGTTTAAGGGATGCGCATGAGAAGAAACATTTGGATACAACTCAAACAAAGAATCATATTTTCAAGAGAATGACACGGGATCTGAAATGGGAAAACATTTGGCCCAAGGTAAAGAAGTCTAGTAAAGATAAATTTTACTCACAACAGCACCAAGAAGTTCCATCTGCTTTGAGATTCCTTCAAATCTGTTTTCAGTATTTGATCTGGCCTCAATATAAGCAATAACACCTGAAATTGGTTTTAAACAAAAGATCATTCTAAGTAGTACAAGGTGTTGATAAATTTTATTTTTACTTCCAGAAAATACCAATATCACCTCCATGTTATGACAAGGAATTGGAATTCCAAGGGGTGGGGAGGGTATATGGTTTTGTTGCTGAAAATATCTATAGAGGCTTTGGACCATCACATGATGGTAACCATGACAGGGGGCACAACAATAGAGTCGTTATCCCCTGGGAAACTGAATCTTTTCTCATGTTAATCAGATTAGATCAGATTTAATTGTTCCTGGCTCCTGTCATGGTTGCCACCATGTGATGGGGCAAAGCCTCTATACCTCCCCTATGGAGGGAATTGGAATTTCCAAGGGGTGGGGAGGGTCTGAGGAGGGTATATTGTGTAGTACCAAAAAATACCCATACTGCCCCCATGGATGGAAATTGGAATTATTTGGGCTGAGCTCTATTAATATTATTAATAGCATTACAGGGCTAAAATAATGGCTGTTCAATTACTGGACATGATGACAAAAAAACACCTGACGTCGAACTGTAGTTTGAAGTTTGCGGGGCTTTAACAAGAACATCTTGCTAAAGGTCTCTATCTAATTTACAACTTGTGTGTAAATTAATTCGTTGAATGGATCATCCATGCAAGGTAGCCAATGTATCAGACAGTTTCAAGTGAAGTTGTCTGGTACACAGATATGAAATATAGCTTTAATTACTGCCTACTATGTCTCGGCCTGCAAACAGACTTTTTTATTAGGGTGGGAGGGGACAGGGTTGAGAGGTCTCCCTCTCCTTCCCCTTCACCCCTCCCCTCCCCGCAAAAAAAAACAAAAACAGAGAGCCTGTTTTCAGGCACTGCATCTGCTTATTTATTGCAGGTAGTGGTTGTACCTTGTAGTATGGCATCTTGGCTGACTGGCTGTGTGCAAGAAAACGAAATATTTKGACTGTTTTCCTCGTCGCTTTCAAACGAACAATGAAAATCAAACTCTTCGTTCCTTTTTTGTTCCCTTGGGCTCTCCTTGATGCTATCACCTAGGGAAAACCTTACTTTGGAGTGRCTGCTGGCTTGTTTTCCAACACTGTCTTTCAACACATTCTTATAAAGACTYGTACTCTTGTTGCTGACTGGAGAGTGAAATCCAGAAAAAACCTTCTGAAAACAAAAACCACAAGATGTTTTCAAGCTTCCTGATACTTAATTAATTAGTCAAATTATATAAGTAAGTATAAATGGAGAAAACTGTAACACGTTTTTCAAACTTTCAATTACAAATCTTATTTTTCTCGCGGGCAAGTTTGATCATGTTTTTGGCTCCATCGTTGTCTTCAACGTCTTTCCTGATCATAACAGTCAGAATTTGTGTTTCTAGGTAGATGATCTAACTTTATTCATCTCTCGAACTGGCATTCAGGGTATTGCTTACATTAAAAACTTGAGATCAAGAGAAAAATACGTGATAAAAATCCCCTCATATAAAGATTCAACGTTATATTTGCATCAAGCCAAGACGTGAAAAGCATAAAATCTTCAAAAACGACTTACATTTTCTGGTGTTGTTCTCTTCTTTGAACTGAGATTCAAACCTAAAGAAGCTCTCTTCTTATCCATTGCTCAATTGAATACCAGAACTGAGAAATCGAGACAAATATGAAGCTTTAAAGTAGAAAAAAGCTACGAAAGGAGAATATAAACATCTCGACAAGAAATAACTGATTTCGAATTCAGCGCGCTGTGCTGTCACGTGATAGGTAACACAGGGTGCCCAAAATGGGTACTGCAAAAGTGATGGCAAAATATTCAGAATTTGTCAGAATTTTTAAAATTTTACATGAAAAAAGTAAATYGTGCTATAAGTATAAAATATGTAAATAGAAATGGGGGTCATCGTCTTCGTTTAGCCATCAGGNNNNAATGATGGTGAATGATGTCTAATGACAGCAAATGATGCCAAATCACATAAATACAAGAAAAATATATAGTCCGAATTGGCAGTTTGGTGTATATAGAAGATGAACGTATTACCAAAATTTCACTGAAGAAAGTAAAATTGTCAGAGTATTTCGCGGATTTCTCTTCATGGCACTATATATAGGGGGGAAACACTCATGAATCGTACGACTGACTTTCGGGCACACAGATGTATCAATAATGACGAATTCTAATCAATTTCAAGTAATTTGTAGAGAAACTTGGAGCGACCTCCTCAGTTTGATAGATTTCAATTTGCCGTGTTTGTCCTTTCTCGGCACATAACAAATTAATCAGTTATTTATGTTATTGCTAATGTGACTGTTAAAATGCTCTTGTTGCTACCAAAAGTYACTTATGGATTTAAAAAATACTTTGCCAAAGTTTCTTACAAGATAATAGTGTAAGATAGACTTTGATCCTTATTGAGTTTGCGTGTAAATATACTTAACGTTTTCTTTTTTTCAACGCGCATCCCACATGGAAAAGAGTGACCATGGGAGGTTAGTCATGAGGGACACAAACGACGTATTAGGTCTGCTGGTCATAGCAAGGGGTTAATCATCTACGGTCTAGGGGCCGACTAACCTCTCCCTTAGGTTTTTGCCGAGCTTCCTGACCAGGCTGTAATTCCTCCCGGGGATAGCGGTGTTGGGGTCGAAATCTCTGGCATAGCCGTAAACGCTTTGCGCTGCCATACGACGCTTCAGCATTCGGGTCTGGGAGTATGGTCTTCGGTTATTTTTATYCAACCAATAAAGATAAAACTAAWCTYTAAAATGTTCTTCCAAGCAGATGAACTTTTTAAAATGGATCAATTTTACAACACAAGAGGAAGTCARTCCAAAGTGTGCATGCGCGATTATAGGGTGAGTAGGTTCTCAGAAGTATAGTTAGATCAGTCAGAATTATTTCATTGTTTCAATATATGAAAATAAGGTAAGATATTCGAAGTGTAAAGGATCGAAGAGATAGAGCCACCAATATTTTGCCTAAAATCTAATCAGAGGCAAGAAAAAACGGCAGATCTCCAATTAGCACACTCTGAAACGACTAGCTCGAATCTTTACGACGAGTATACTGATACGACCAAAAGGAAGAAAATCAAAGAACTAACATTTAAGTCAATTTTGAGCATTTTATTTGTCTTTTATTATATTTCATCACATATTGGAGTGTACTTAAGATTTTGTACAAGTTCTAAATAAAACCTAATTGCAAGAACTCGACCCATAATAAATGAATGAACTCGAAGAAATATAACTTTCTTTAGTCTTTTCTTTCTATCTTTTTTCTACCGAGATATTCGTTCTTGAAAKTAGGTTTTATTAAACACGTAGAACAGAAAATACCAAATTAATTTGTACAAGTGGGAGGTTTGCTGACATTCAAATGGCTTTATCTATGAACCAATCRGAAAGCAGAGAAACGTTAGCCATCCAATCAGATTGCATGATTGAAAAAACCATTAGAATGGAAGACTAATGAAATTTTCACTTGGAAATRAAAAGACGTTTTTACTGGGGATTGGGGACTCGCCTGGCTAGCGTATAAAATTATTAAAATGTTAATGTATATAACAAAAAGAAATGCTCAATGCAAAAGGGGGATAATCTGACGCTTGAAACACTGCTTTCCTCATCCCCTCTAAAGCCCAACCCCACCTTCCCCAATGAAAAACACGATTCTTATAATCGTCCTTGTCAAAGATATCTAAATAAATACTTCTGTATATAATATTCACATGTGGAGAGTGAAATCATGTAACTACAATAAATAATTCGTGTTAAGGTATTTTTACAWCATGACTACAATCAAGACAACATGTAAGATTTTGATATGATATGTAATGATGCGAATTTGAGGGAAACATTGGGGGATAGAAAATGAAGGCCAAAAGAAGGGGAAAGGGGGATAGTTAAAAATCGAAGAATTTCTGGTGTTTAACTGGCTTCTTAGGAGTAAAGGGGAAAATGTTCAAAAATAACATGCATCAGAAGAAAAAGAAAAAAGATTCTAATTTCACCGGGGGAAAAAATTGTTTTGGTACCTCWGAAAAAATGTTCATCTCAAAGTTGCACCCAAAAAATATCTGTGAAAGTTATATCCARCTCTAGGTTGATATTTATACATTTGCTATTGCTATAGGTATATCTCAATAATATATCTTATACTTTTCTCTCTCTATCCTATTTAATTATAATTCAATTTTGACTTATCGGATTAAGCCATGTACAATGATTTTTGTCCTCAACTGGGGTTATAAATATTCTTTTTCAAGTTTCCTTGCACTACGACTACCCAAACTTATCGTCCATCTTACTTTTCCTCTTTCTTTCTTTCTTTCTTTCTTCCTCTCTCTCTTTTCAAATTGTTCTCTCCGTAGAAGGTAGAAATAATGGGCAGATATATTCAACATTGCCTCTTCTAATAATATAACCAATGTAATATAGATGATTTCTAGGCTGTTTGAAATAACAAAAGCTCTCATGACTATAATATATATACACTTTAAGTYTTGGTACTTTTTAAGCACTTTATATATCTATAGCTTTCTATTTCCTAGTAATGAGATCCAGTCTCATTTATAGAATCAGTACTAATAATCTAAAGTCTATAATCAGTTATGTTGCACGTACAAATTATCAAAAAATTAATGGCGAAAACTGAGAAAAGGAAAGAAAATTATTCGAAAGTTTCATGGAAATAAAGATTCTCTCGGAGAATTTCTCTCAGTTTTTCAAGGGAAAACTTGAGCTTTGTAGCTAACAAAACTGTGCCCCTCAATCCGTGACTGAATGGGAACGCGACATCTAATTGGCTACCGCTTTTAACTAATTAAAATGTACGAAAACAAATGCATCATCCAATAAAAATGCTTGGATTTGAAAGCCAGTTAAGAACCATATTTTCTTTAAGAAATTTAGATGCCAGCTTTGGTCTCGAAATTATTTTTTTACTCGTAATATAACCGCTGAATGATAACTGAGAAAACGAAGATATAGATCAAAATTTTCGATTCTTATTTACAAATTTAAACGACCGACTCTCGCTGTAGTTATCTACTGGATTTCTTTTCTACCTTCATATTTTCGGACTCCCTCTTTACTTCATTGTTATTCAACGTCGCCTGACTAGAAGGAGTAGATTCAGGCGTCTTTCTGTTTTTTAAAACAGCATCATTTTCGTGCTCAATCTTGTGGTTTTCAATAGATTCTTCCTTCTTGTGGCTGTCCTCTGGTTCCTTCGGGTTTTGTTTTTTCTCGCCTCCTCTACGTTCATTCTCCTCATTGGAATCTTTTTCTTCCTTCGTTTGCTTCTCGTCGTCATCAGCAGATGGAGTTGGGCTCTTCTCGTTGTTTTCACTCTCAGATTTCTTGCGTTCTTCTTCGCTCTTTTCTTCATTTTTCATTATCTCTTTTTGCTTTGCAACACGTTCTGACCAAAGTTTTAAATTTTTCCTAAACAAGACGAAGAAAAAATAATATCAAAATAGAATCTAAAATTATATACGTTATAGACACTCGATACGAACAAAGAAAACCAAAAATTCACGTCAGTTAGGCTTGCTTTCATGAATCTTGCTTTGCGAATCCAGGATTTTGTTAAATTTTCAAATTTCAAAAAGAAGTCAAATTACTTACTTTCCACCAAGGACTAGGTTCTTTGTTCCCGGGATAATCTTGGCTAACAGTTCGTAACAAGGTAAGCAGATACCAACTAAGAAACCAACCTAAGAAAAATTGCAAAAAATGACTATAACGCAATGATAAAAACGATGCTTGTTGGAAAAATAAATCTGAGAATAAATTTTAAAAAAATGAAATGAAAATTAAGGGATGTTAAAAGGATGGCGTCAAGGAGCAATGTATTGTGCAAGGATGAATGGAAGAATAAATAGATGAATGGGATGGATTAGTTGATAGATGGAGAGAGGGAGGCAGGGAGTAAAGGAGGAAGAGATGATGGATGGAGAGGGTGAAAGAGGTAAAGTAGCTATATGTGACGTCATGTGATCTGGCGCTAAAGATCAAAGTCAATTACCTGGTGAGCTGGCAGTTCATGGGCCGTGTTACGATCCTTCATTGGGATTGGCTGTTTCCCTTGCGCCTTCTCCAAGTCACCCTAGAAGAACACAATGAACGATTGTCATTTTACCAAACAGTACTCGAACGCAAACGCGCTATCAAGGACTTGGTACTAACTAAAAACTTCAATAATAATTTGGTTATTGGCTATAAATACCTCGGCATAGAACTCCTGATAGATGACTTTGACAATCTGGTACTGGATGTCCCAGGGTTTTGTACAGGCTGATAAGTCACAGGCCGTCATGCATATCGCTCGTAGAAGTCGCCTGGAGAGCACAATTAACACTTAGATCAACAATTTTGACACTCGGAAACTCCCTCTCTACCTGTACCCATTTTAGTATCTCTACATCCCACCTACCAGGTCTCCACCTCTACTTCTTCCCCTACTAGTATCTCCACCTCTACCTCCACCTCTAGCTCCACCTCTACCTCCACCTCCACCTTCATCTCTACCTCTACCTCAACCTCCNTTGACACTCGGAAACTCCCTCTCTACCTGTACCCATTTTAGTATCTCTACATCCCACCTACCAGGTCTCCACCTCTACTTCTTCCCCTACTAGTACCTCCATCTCTACCTCCACTTCTACCTCCACCTCTAGCTCTAGCTCCACTTCTACCTCTACCTCTACCTCTACCTCTACCTTCATCTCCATCTCTATCTGATTAAACTAAATCCTATCATCACCTGTGTTCCTGGTCTTCCCAAGAGAAAGTTCCCTTCTCCACAAAGTCTTTCAACTTGGCTTTGTTCCCGAAGAAAAGCGCAAGATCTGTTGCTAAGATACATTCTTTCATGAAGCCAAGAACGGACTTGTACTCGGTGGAGCTCAAGTGAGAGAAGATGTTGTGACCCTCGTGCTAAAAAAAAAGATTCCAAAATCAGCTTCTCATTAAATAGGGAAACAAAGGTGTCGTTGCATTACTGCTGACCTCTCACCTCTAGGGTCTCGGGTTGCATTCATGGACTCGACTTATATATATTTAAAAAAAATCTAAGTGAGGTTCTGTACTGCAAAAAAAAAAAAAAAAAAAAGCGCGCCAAAGTTTGCCGCTAATGGAGAAAGCGCTTCCGTGACAAGCGCGTTGGTTAGTTTCAATATTACGTGATCAAGCCCGTTCATTAGTGCGCATGTCACAGATAATTGATTCTAACCTGCAGAATGGTAATGGTCTGGTTAAAGTGATGGTGCTCCATAGTAGAGGTGCTGTACACTGCAGCAAGAGGAGTTCCCTCGTTCTTCATCCAAGAATTGGTTCGTCCACGGTGATCTAGGTCGTGACAGAGACAAGCAAAGAACATGGCCAGTGCCTGATGGGGAGAAAACGTTTTACCGTTAGAGCTGCGCGCCAAAACCAAAACCAAAACCATCTAGTGGAGGAAAAAATCTTACTTCTTTATTAACGGTGAGAGAATCATTGTTTGTCGATAGAAGCTTGGTCCTGGCACTAACTTGGAGTCGTTGTTTTGTGTCACTCAAACGAATAGACCCCTTATGTGACGTCAAAGGAGCTCAATTTGCAGGACAGAACAAAAGAATTTCAATCCCCTGAGAATTGGAAACCTTTCGTTTTGCCCTCCAAATTGAGCTGCATTCCGAAGTGTTGCTTTGGGAAAAGCTTTATGTCGCAGGGATGGCTTGACCCTTATACATACCTCAAGTCCTGAGAAGTTGTTATGCCCAGAACGTATCACCAGGTACATGCAGTGCGCCACAGCAAACGCATGAGTCCAGTTGTGATATGGAACACGACGGTAGTTCTTGCGAACCGTCAGCACAAACCGATACAACTCATCAACATCAAATCTATAAAAAAAATATCGAATACTGAAGCGACCTCTATGCTGATCTAAGTCAGGGCATGGCTAACTCACAGATCAAACCCAGAAACAACCTCTGGGCTGATCTAAGTCAGGGCATGGCTAACTCGCAGATCAAACCCTGAAACGACCTCTGGGCTGATCTAAGTCAGGGCATGGCTAACTCACAGATTGAACCCTGAAACAACCTCTGGGCTGATCTAAGTCAGGGCATGGCTAACTTAAAAATCGAACCCTGAAACATCCCCTGGGCTGATCTACGTCAGGGCACGGCTAACTCACAGATCGAACCCTGAAACAACCTCTGGGCTGATCTAAGTCTGGGCATGGGTAACTCACAGATCGAACCCAGAAACAACCTCTGGGCTGATCTAAGCCGTGACATGGCTAATTCACAGAATGAATTGGAATTTAACATGCTGGGTTTTGCGGAACTCTGAGAAAACTCCTTGAACCAAGGGACAGACCCAACATATTCTACTCACCGGCATTCGATGCCGAGTCCAGGAGTCGAAGCAGAGACCCCAGAGGTTAGAGGTGAGTGTACTACTGCCATACCACCCTTGAATCCCACATTGTTTCTGCAATGATTATAATTGCAGGGACACCACTTTAACATAGGCCAATAATCAAGTGGTGAAGGGAGTGTTAATCTTACCTGGTCAAGGAGAAGAGATTTCTTGTCATGTCAATGACTAGTTTCGGCATGACCTCGGACTCCAGACTGTATGAATCAAAATCGTATCTAAAAACAAAACACCATACATGTCATCAACTTGAATAAACGATGTTGATACTCGAGCTAGACCTGAAAGCACTACTTCTGATATCTAAGAGCAGATTTTGTAGAAGGACCAATCATATAACAAGAAACACTATTTAACTGACTAATCACGACGCTTAAATTAGGAAGCCATTTTGACACTTAAATGGCTTCCACTCTGAACCAATTACAAGACAAGAAAAAGCGCAACATCCAATTACAACGATTGAATTTGGAAGCCATTTCAGTATCATGATACCATATGCTCCCCATCTTCCCTAACTGAAGACACAACTAGACAATCACTATGGCAACAGACTTACGATTCCAGTTCAGGGTAAGGGTCAACAGTCTGTAATTCCTTAAGAGAGCGAAGCTCCTTTTCAGAGCATTTGCTGTGATAAGACAAGACTTCCAAAGCCACCTTAAAAGAAATACAGAAATGATAAGTTAGAATTTCATAGTTTGCCGAGTAAATTTGTTCATTTTTGGATTGTTTTTAGGCCAATAATCAAGCTAAAAACACAAACGTTTCTAAGTTGTGGAGTTCCCATAATCACTGCCATATTTTAGTTCTCTTTTGGTCCCTTCTATAGCTCAACTTATATGCTTAAACTTTCAAGACTCAGAATTGTTTCCGAGTCTTTCAATTTGCAGCTGCATAAGTTGCTTGATATACTGAGAGGATCAGCTCAATTTGATACATCATGTATCAAATAGAGCTGATTGAGAAACGATGTACAAATATATAGTTTATATATTGTCATATACGTAAACGTAAACTGTTATTGATGTGAACATACCCGGTGTTTCTGTTCAGATCTTCTGATTTTGTCGTACAACTAAACAGTGTAAAAACAAACAAATGTTAGTTAAGTAAGTGATTGAAAGATTGCAAAAATAATAATAACGTACAAGCGGAAGTGAACAAAACGAACTTAAAGAAACATCGAAAATTGATTCCTTGCCTTAGCATGGTGAAGAGCAAGACCACAATAGATAGCAAATGTCTGGAAAGATTTCTCATCTGTTGGCAAAATACAACCATTTTTTGATTAAAGGGGTCTTGGTTTATTCGAGACATTAAAACGAAATTACCGTAAATCCTCTATTTAGCCCCCCTCTCAAATAAGCCCCCCCTTTTTAAAGGAAGAAATTTGTTAAGCCCCTCTTCCCCTCTCTTTTTAGCCCCCCTCCCCTTTTCACGACTAAAGAATCACGTGTACTGATTAAAGGTGATTTATTAAAGTCTTGGTTGTTCAGAACATTTCTTTTTAGCTTACTTTGTTAATGTTACCGTGTTTTAGTTTTGCTATTCACAATAATCGTAAATTATACTTGAGAGACTAACACAGGTGAATCAAATTATAAAAATGCCATGTACATCACTACGGATTATACGAGACGGTCAATAGTAATGCTTCCGTTTAATCCTGAGTTACAATCATATTACATACTGCGTTTCGACTAAATCAATAAGCCCCCCTCTCTTTTAAGCCCCCCCCTCTCCAATAAGCCCTCCCTCAAACGTGCCTGAAATAAATAAGCCCCCTGGGGGGCTAAATAGAGGATTTACGGTATAATGTGGTTTCACCTCGGTCATGTCGTGGAGAAAAAAACCGTAGAAATTTTCTCCTTTGGAAATGAAAAATCTCGACTTATCATATGCAAAAGCATGTTATTGCTATTGCTCTACAGCATTGTTCCCGTGAAACCACGCTCTAACCAACTTTCTGGAGTGCAAAACGAGATGACCATTGGCCGATAATGACTTTAGGACTGCGTGGATGTGTCCGTTTTGCACGTTTGACCTTGGAATAAAAAAAGGCCATCGCGTTGACTATTGACTTTTTTAGATAGTGATAAGATCGCTATCTCAGGTATAGTAAAAAAAAGGCCCACTCTTAATCCACCGACAATACATTATAATTATTTTATTCTGATTTACTTTATCCTAATTATTATCTATTTACATCAATACTACTACTTTATCTATTATAAATATATTTACAACATTTCGCTTGGAAGCACAAAGAAGTATAATACAACCTCATTGTATTTTGGCTAACAGTTGGGAACATCAGCCAGGCTGAAGCCACCATTCTGATCGTAAGTGCGAAAGAATGCGGTTTGGCTATACACGGTTCTTTTAGCAATGTAGAATACACGGGTTGAGCAGAAAGCCTTCAGAAGTCTTTGGTTCAGTTCATTAGTTGTTTAACAAAGTCTCTACTTAAATGAAATGTTCCACATATATAAGATATGTATATAATTGAGTTCAGGAACATAAAAAAAGTTCATTTATAAAACCATATTTATAAGAGAAGGCCTTTGATATAGCACGCAGCTACTTCTTCCAAGGCCCGGCCAGCGAAGGCCCTCAGCCTTTTGAGGCATCCTCTCCATCCACTTCGAACAGTGGTTGCATCTTTGCTTGGAGTAGCATTGGATTTGGGGTCGCTGTTTTCTGCAGGTTGTGCACTGCAGTTCTCATCTACAAATGGAAGATCTTCATCGTCGTCTTTGCACTTCAGATTAGACTCACTGCTAACAACTGCAGGGCCGTTCGAAGTACATTTGTCATCTATATCTCGTAGATTTTCTTCATCGTTGTCGTTCAACTTGGGAACAAATGCTGAGGAAGCCCTTTCAGGGATTTTGTCCAAGGACAAGCTCACAGGGCCACGCTGCTCTTCTTCAGGCGAAGAGATAGATTTGCTCTTTGCAGCTGCAGCGACGATGACCTCTTGTTGAGCAGGCATTTCTTGTGGTTCTTTTGCAGACAACCAGTCGTTCAATTTATTCCTCAATACCTCCATGTTTTCTTCATTTAGGATGGATTCTTGTCCTGGAATGTGAAGGCTGAGGTCCCATTCTTCGAACTCTTGTTTGTCTTCGAAGTATTCAAAGTTCTGTAGATTCTCGTCTTCACTGTAGCTTTCATCGTATACTGGACTAAATATCTCCTCTATCTGAACTCCATAACTAGACTCGTTTTGTCTTTGTTCTTCCTTGTCCTTGAATGATACATAGTCTTCAAGATCGTCTATGTCTTCAACGACGACACCAAGTTCTTGTTCATTTTGTACGTCCCCTTTGTACGGCCACTCGATTGCCTGCAGAGCAACAGCTTTGTCTGAACAGGTTTGTCCCTCGGTGTTGTAGTCAGCAAACATAGGCAGGTCTGGCTGGGTTCTGCATGCTGTTGACTCCATTACATCAAGTGACTGAACGACTTTGGCACTGCTGAATGAGGAAGCACCTCCATACTGTTGGCTCTGGCTGTACTGGTTAACTTGTTCATAGTACGATGACATACCACCTGTCTCTACTCCTGCAGCAACTCTGGAACAACCAGCCACGTAGTTGGTACCTTGTGAATGACAGGAGTAATCTGGTTGATAATTACCACCCGTACCATGGAATAACTGGTTGTTGTAAACTTGATATTCCTGAACATAAGCGCTTTTGGACTGCATTTGTTGAAATGCAACTTCTTGATGCACATTACTTCTTGATTGCTCGTATGTGTCAAACGGTGGTTCCACATCTCCTTCCATTGCTGGGATCCCATGACTGCGACTCACGTTGGAGCTGTACGATGTGTTAGCGCATCCATTATCGTACACTCTTGAACTAGAAACTGTCTTGACATACTGAGTCACGTGACGTGTCTGGGTTGGTTGGATCACCGTGACTCCATAAGGTGCAGCGTAGGACACGACACGGTCACCCTCTTGGTAGCAAACTCCTGCTATGGCTGGGTCATCATTCCATATGCCTTGCGAAGCAGCGGCATTTGAATTACTGGAATAGGACTGGAAGGACGTCGAATACTTAGCTTCCGAAATGAACTGGAAATTTTGCTCATTCATCATTTTATCTGTGGTAATTGTCTATTGTTTTCTCGAGCACTTATAAATTGTTGCAACTTCACTCAAAACTTCTCTAAACAAGGCTTTTTTCGAGACCATTATTACGTTAGAGCGCGCGCTGATGACGTTGGAAAAAGCAATGACATGACAATGATATATCATACGCGCGCGCATCTTCGCGCGCTACTAACCACAGATAGCCCAAAGGTAGAAACACCCGCTGACCCGCGGCCCAGTGCTCCACCAGAAATAAGAAAAGACAAGTTACCTGAGGCAGTGAAGACGCCCGACTTTTTGTTGACCATTTGTACCACTCCAATTATACTATAAAGAGCAAACGAGGGAAAATGAAAAATAGAAAGATTAAAGATTTATTTATTTGTAATAATTTATATGTCTGTATGCTAATCTGTCCCTGATTGTATGTCTGTACGCCTGACTATCTGTCTGTTTACCAGTGTCAATCTATTTTGTGTAATGTGAGTGTCAGTGGGTTGGTTCATTCATCCCATACCTTCCTCTGATGAATATAGGCATGCACAGAAGAGTACGGGTCGTGTATGTCTATACGCCTGACTATCTGTCTGTTTACYAGTGTCAATCTATTTTGTGTAATGTGAGTGTCAGTGGGTTGGTTCATTCATCTCATACCTTCCTCTGATGAATATAGGCATGCACAGAAGAGTACGGGTCGTGTATCCCGTCTGTATGTCGATTTCCCTTTAAGATAAAAGAAAAAATAAATGAACTATGGGAGGTAACAGGTGAAAAAAGCATGTCATTTGTATGTCAAGCCCGTCTGTGGGCAAACGTTACTTTGACTGTGGATATGGAAGAAAAATATTAATAAAAAAATTAATGACTTGGACCAACGCCCAAGTTGGCTTAGTCGGGTTATTTTGAGCATCGGCCTGTCTTGGCAGGAAGTATTGGTTTCAGCCCCTGGCTAGATAAGATCTGATAGGCACGTAGCATTCTAGAACAACTTTGGAGAAGGTGCTTTCTTTATTCTAGTTTACCTATTGAATCTCTCGTCATGATAGGCGTCTGTAATATTAAGTGTCTCGCCCGTTGTCGCAACATACCCAGCTACTCCCTTTGTTTTGGGAAACCTGTGGGGGGAAAACAGCCAATCATCAATGAGCTTCTGAAAAAAGGAAGGACATAGTTCAAAAACCGGAACTTTGCAGGTTCACGTGATGGCAGCCATGACAGGAGTCTATTCTGGTTTACACGAGAAAAAACTTTAGTTTCCCAGGGAATAAGACTGTTGTCATGCCCTCTGTCATGGCTGCCATTGCTGCGACAGTGCAAAGCCTCTAGTCATCAATGGTCTTTCCTCCCCTTGCCACAGGGAGCCCATCACAAACAGACATACCTGATCTCTTTCTGTAGTTTGGATGACTTGCTATCCTCCAGGCTTCCACCGATATCAAATATCCTGGCGTAGAGTTCACTGGTTTTGTTGTCAACAAGAAACAGCGAAGTCCTGTCTGCATCTACTAGTGTCTGTGCGTAGTTCTAAACAGCAATCAATCAATCAGTCAATCAGTCAGTCAGTTCACACCCTGATCAGTCCCACAATCCATTGCGAGATTTGATTAACCAGTTTAATTGAACAAAGGACAGATAAATCAACAGTTCTGACATACCATAATTTTCATAATGACAGTATCCATGCTAACTATATCTTGAAATATAGACCTGGGGTAGACATCAAATCAATATAAATAATTTATATAACAAAGTGAGTAAAAATAATAGTATCGAAGATGGTGTAGCTCTTGGGTTCGATACTTGGACTCGACAATTCACATGTCAGTGACATTTGTTGGGTCTTCTGGTTTTCCTCCCTCCACAAAACCTGTGGGTGGTATGGGTGGCGTAGAAGTTTACAGCTCACCTCTCACCACTGTGGTCCGTGTTCAAGCCCTGGCCCAGACTGGATCATATGTGAGTTGAGTTTGTTTGATGTGTTGTTCTCTCCCTTGCCACAAGGGTTTTCTCCGGGATCTCCGGTTTCCTCCCTCCGTAAAAAGCAACATGTGAGTTGAGTGTTGTATGTTGTAAATATAGAATGTAGTGATAGTGCATGTGGAGGGAACCTCACGGAAGAGCCCCGTTTGGAGATTGGTGGTTGTAAAATATAAGTACATTGTATATTTGAAGGAAAGTAGTGGGATGTTCAAGTTTGTACATTTAAAGAAAAGTAGTGGGATGTCGGCTTCGGACAGGTCTGTGCACTGTGACCCTGCTTTACCTTGTAACGTTCAAGAGGAATTCTGTCAGCTTCCTGTGTTTATGCATGTGATGATACATCTGGAAAAAAGAAAAAAAATTCAGCTGCAGAGTCTAAAACAGCCTTTGAGTGGACGTTAGTTACTGGCCGGGCTGTTCTATCACAATCTAGTCTAATGAACATATTTGATTGGCTAAAACGGACTGGTCTATCACAGTCTAGGCTAATAAATACCTCTGATTGGTTGAAACAATACGGTCTATCAACATCTAATCTAATAAATGCCTATGATTGGCTTAAGTGATGTGGTCCATCAGAGTTGAATATAATGGGGGTCTCTGATTGGCTGAAACAGTCTAATATATCAAAGTCTGGAAATGAACAAAGATATAAATCCAATATACACTCTGTTCTATTGAGAAAAAGTAATAATAATAAAATAAACACAGCAAAGGCGAGCTGAGATAACATTTACTTGTATATTTTATTATCATAGAATGTCATTACTTTTTTGCAAAGAAAAAAAATGTTGACTTCTTCTAAATTCTAAGTTTTTTATTTATTTTCTTTTATTTATTATCAAAGATATATTGTATATCTTATTATTAAAGAATTTCATTACTTCTTTTGCAAAAAAAAATTTTTTTGACTTCTACTAACTTCTAAGTTATTTATTTATTTATTTTTATATTTTCTAAAAAAAATAATAATAAACAAGAAAAAGCAATTAAGCCTATCTTTCTTAAAATCCAACTAAATTAATAAAACTAATTAAGTAGTAAGCAAACAATACTTTAATCTGCCAATTTGAAGTGAAATAACAAACTTACTGTAACACACTTCCTTAACAACCCTGCCATGCATACAGCACACCAAATGAAACTGTCTGTCAATATTTGCTTTCTCCTAAAATAAAAACCCTTAACAAAGCYGCTCTTTCGCTTTATACTGATTAAATATTTTTCCATGACGTACATAAAAATATTTCATTGAAAACGTTTCTTGTGAAAATTCAATATTGCAGCAACATTCTCAGGCACAATTTTTAGGTAAAAAATGAAAATAAATATGTTTTTGTACAAAATCATTAAAGGCCTTGATTGGCTTCTAAAAGATTCGGGTTAAAATTCAAAACAATGGCCTAAGTTGCAACCTTAAGTATTTATGAAAAAACCTTTTTGAAATAGCTCTATCTAAGGACATTCTCTGATTATTTTCCCAGTCGAAAAGTACTTTGTGAAGCCTGGGAAAGATACATCTGTACACTATGAAATAAGCTTTCAAAACCTTGACATGTTAAGTCAAAAAGTGCTTCCTAAAGTGTAAAGTACATTATGGGTAATACTCTAGATCTTTAGAGTACTTTATTGTCTAAAACATATACTTGAATTTTAATGTATTGGTTGAAAGACATGAAGGAATATTGCTATGTCATTGAAGAGAGAAAGTTTTGGACTTCAGGACTCCAGTACTTGAACAAAGGTTGTCCTTCAATTTTGATTTTTAGAGACATAATAGAATGTAAATAGCTATTAAGCTAGAGAAGTGTGTGACAAAAACATAGGAGTTGAGAGCAGGGGGGAGGGGAAGGGAAGGCTGGTAGGAGGGTTAAGTGGGCTGTAAACCCCATATTTTTTAATTACATGTCTAGGTGATTACCTCAGCATAATACAAAGATATTCCACCCCACACCAGATAGCTGTTTACGATCTGTCAAAACAAAAATAAAAACGAATATCAACAACTGTATTGGAGGGAGGAATACAGGGAAAAAGCAAGCAAGCAAGGAAGGAATGAAGAACAAAAGGAAGGAAGGATTAAGGAAGGATAGAAGGGAGAGAGGGAGGGAGGGAGGGAAGGAAGGAAGGGACAAGATTAATGGATTAAGGGTTGAAAAAAAAAAAACTAGCTAAAAACTAGTGTGATAAAGGGTTGCACTTCTTGGCTTTTCTTATGAAAGACATACCTCTTCATCTTCCTCATCAAATGGATCACGACCCACAGTCCTCGTCAATTCAATCGTTCCTTAAAAAATAAGGTATAGCAAAGTTATAGTTTTGATAGGTAGTCTGTAAATTGGAACAACTGCAAAAAAACACATTTTCAAATATTACTCTATATACAACAATTAGTGATAATCCTGGGTGGAAGAGAGGGAATTAATTCTAATGAGCACTATTTTGAGAGTCACCTCAAAATCCAGAGGGTAGGTGAAGGAATTTTTGAAATTCATCAATTCTACGCACCTATGAGGTCACCATTTGATTGCACAATTGGCTGACATAAAACTGACTGAGCTGTAGTACCTGAAAAAAGAAACAAATTTGTGTTCATTACTAGATCTAGAGTAGGCCAAACTACCAGCCATGATAAATCATCAATTGGTCAGTCAATATCACTGTGTTTTTTGAGTTGGGAACAACTGATTTATCCCTCAATCACTGACAATCGATCACTCTACTATGCAGGAGCTGATCTAAGAGGTTGTGAAGGTTTGTCCGAACACCCTAAACCATGATCAAACCCCTTTAATGACAACTTCAAACATTTTAATTAGATCATCTTGATTTCATCAAACCCCCTAAAGGATGTAGGAGTGCGAATCTCATGATCTCATGATGCGGATCTCGCCAGTTGAGATCCCCCTTAGTGAAAATCCTTGATCTTCCTCCTGAATATTTGCACTCAATTTATGGGCACTTAGACGAAAATGGCAAATACCCTCTTTATATTAATAGTATATGAGACATTATATCAATAAGGCTAATAGGTTTTACTAACCATCAACACCAGTTCCCTGGGGAAATCGCTCATCCTAAAGATCAAGTGATAAAGACAGAGAAAATAAGCCATTCATATTTTGTTATGTTACTTAATAGCCCTAATGGCCTGTGGCTAACAAACCTGTGGCCTTCATTCCATGATTGAATTGAATTGTAGAAGTGCTGAAAAAAGTTTAAACAAAAGAAAGAAAGATTCCTTAGTTTCTTACCCCTAATATATCATTGGTCCTGACTGGTTTTAGTGCATGAGCGACGTATGCTGCTATTGTTGATTTGGGTTGAATTTTGATAGGAGAAGAAGTCTTCCTAAAAAAAAAAAAAATTATAAGAGAAAAAATTAAATAAGCAATGTTAAAACATTTAAAAGTAAGATTCTCTAACCCTAAGAGTTATCATAGTTCAGAAACGATGACACATTTTATACTCATTGACACCCATCTTTGTAATTATTTTAACCAAAACAATTCCAGACATTTGGATTCACAATCATTGTTACCATTAGCACCACCATCATCATTATCATAACCACCTTTTTTTTCTCTACAAAAATTTATTATCATATTCTAATACTTACCCCTCTGGTAGACTAGGGTTATGAATATACAAATCCTGCAATAAAAACCCACACATTCCTAGTCCATTATAATATTATATTCACTTAAAGTTATCATTTATATCTAAAAAAAAWTTTTTTGACCCCCCTCCTTGTGACCTTTTTAACCCCCCCTTTTAAGTCAGCAAATACTATTAAAGCCCTCCTTTTTTGTGTGATTTTTTTTCAAAGCCCCGCTACTTTTCCTCCAGCCCCTTCCTCCCCCAAGGCATAATTAATGAACAGTATACTCACTACATTTGATAATGTTTTAAGCACACAACTATCAACTCACATGTTAATTTTTGAGGAGGGAGAAAAATTAGAGAACCCAGAAAAACTATTGTGGCAAGGGAGAGAACAACACATCAAACAAACTCTGATCCCACCGATAGGAGAGCACTTAGGAATCGGCAGAATGCATTGTACTTCTTATAACAATTGTTTCATGCTCTCCCAATCCCTACATGCTTTATATAACTGCATGCATTTTCTATTTCTTCCATTATAATAAATTAATTAAAAAAATGGGATTCTGATGAATTCAACTGGAATTTGTTAACTCACTTGTCCATTAGAATCAACCAAGTACAGAACAAAACCATCAGCATGACAAGCTATGAGAAAAGAATTTACATTCATGTTTGAATAGTAATGAAAAAAGAGTTTCTTATCTTAACAAATCTGTATCTTAACTCTAACCCTACAGCCTTGGGTTTGAGTTAGTTGCATGCTAAGAAAGATTTATTAACTAGTGGTTTACCTGATGCAATGCAATTTGCCAGCTCAAGAAGAACTTTTTGCTTGTTTGGTTGTGTGTGTATGTCATGTGTGAGTTCCTCGAGCATCTTCTTCTTATCACTATGAACACAAAACTGGGGAAAAAATCAAAACTAAATGTTATTAAATAATGTAAAATAAAAATGGGAGAAAATGAAATCGAAATGGGAAAAGTGAGAATAACTTTTTCGTAAGAAAGCGGTAAAAGAAAGGGAGTCAAAAAATGAAATAAATAAGTGGGAAATAAAATGAAAGAAACAACAGAACAAAAAGTTTGGGAATTGGGAAAGGGATAAACAAAGGAGAAATAAAATAGGGTTGATGATGATAAAATGAGAGCTGAGCAGAATTATGCAAAACTGAAAGAAAATTCAAATCAATTACAAAATTTAAGTAAAGGGAAACAAAGGATTAAGAAAAGCTCTAACATATGAACAAAAGAGCATTCAAAACCGTAAAAAAATAAATACATATTCACAATGCCCAGACTGACTATATAGAATTAAAACTTTAGATTTTGTTACTGTAGATTTTAATTTGTTGAATTTGAATTTTAAAATAGTGAGGAAATTGGAGGTTTCACACAAATATACAAATTGAATTTTCTGTAGAGTAAAGGTTTTCAATTTACATATATATTGTACAAAATCAATTTACAAATGAATGTTATCAAAATTTATTTAGATTTGAAATCAAGGTTCTTAATAAGTTTAATCTTGTATTTCTTAGAGCGTAACAATTGGAGTACAATGTTTGTTCTCAAGGGCCCCTTATAGTGATGTTATATAGGTATTATGGCCATGAATGGGAAATCCGGATTAAATGAAAACATGAAATATGAAATCCTTCTTTTTAATAATTAGAAAATTTCACGATATTTTTTTCCAAGGTTTAAAAGTTTTTTCTCTAAGTAAAACATAGGCTTCAATCAGAAGTAAGTCCATAAAGATTTTTTCAATTAGACATTTTTTTCGTTCAAGGTGTTATAATGTATATATTGTTCCTGTTCTTGGCGCTGGTGATGAAACCAGCTGTCAAAATGATACCGCTTTTGGATATCCCATCGATGATTTTTCCAAATCTAGATTTTTAAACTATTAGTAAAAAAAAWTTTTTTTTCAAATGGTTATCCCACTCACCTTCCATTTTGACAGCGACGGACGGTGACTCAGGGGTCCTATAAAATGAACAGCGAGTAGTAGTTTTTTTAGTTTGCTTTTTAATTTGTCAAGCGGGCTTTTATCGAATCAATCCTTCAAATCTTTTTTTACCGTTTTGTTTGCTGTTTTCTTGATCGCCAGGTGGATGTCGTCCCTTTTGCTTTAATTTTCTAGTTTTCCTGATAAGCCATCGCTCGAGTCGATCTTGGTCAACATGTTTCATAACGAACTCGTCTAAGAACATTGGGTTCGCTACCAAATAACTCCTAACATTTTCACCATCKAGTTGAACTTCTAAAATATAAGAAAAATACTCGTTCCATTGACTAGAGCTTTACTTCAATGAATAAATGGTTAATTTAAAAAAAGTTAGATAAGTTAAGCACTAAAAATCGATATATTCATCGCTGACTGTTATTTCAAGAAATACTTCGTCTTTTCCCTAGAGACCATATAAGCTTAGTACACAACAATGACTACGACCTTTTGCGGGGCTTTGCCCTGACATCGAGAAAATCCTTCAAGCTCATAAACCGTTAAATACAAGTAAAAAAAAACCTGGGATGATTTTGCGGTTACACGGAATAAATAAGACACAAAAAGTCAGTTTCGAGGCTTCAAAGATAAATTTCGCGCGTTGTCAAGAATATGAACAAGTGCTGAAGGTTCGTATAAGAACGACAACTTCTGTCGATTATTTACCGTGCGTTTCTGGGTTTGGCCGCTCTCCGATCGCTTTTCCTTGAATCAAGGCAGGTCTAAACGGTCCGTCACTGAAGGGAACGTTTAAATCGTAGTGTCCATGATTGTTGACTTGACTGCCTTGATGGTTGCTAGTAGGACCGTGTCGAGAATTGGTAGAACAAGCACTTGTAGTTTTAACGCTCCCACCGCTCGTGATCCTTCGAATTGGACTACTTCGAGAACTATTGGGAAGCGGAGGAAGACGTCGATTCGATATTTGTCTTGAAGGACTAGACATCTTCGTGGGAATCGCTTGAGATTTCAGCTCATTTTCTTGCGGAGAGAACCGACCACTAACTCAAGTGGTGTTGGTGTTTACCTGCAAGGCTGCCTACACAGCCAGCTGTCTTCTACAAGTCACGTGTTTGCTCACTTCAACTGACTGAAAACCAACTAAAATCAACTAAAATAATATAAGCTTCAAATCCCATGTAAATCCATATCACTTTTCCTATGTTACCTATTTTTAATCCTTGAGAAATAAAATTAAAGTTTTGAAAAAAATTTTTTTTTTTTTGCCATCTGGTCATGAACGGATCGGTCGAACCAGGATCCCTGTCACCTCAGAAATCAAATTTTCAAAATCGGACAGTAAAACAAAACGTTGATAAATATCGCTAATGAATTTTCCAGTTTGCTCAAAAATCTTTTAGGAAAAAAAATATCGTCGTCAAATTTTGCTTTAGTGAACTAGTACTTATAAAGACCATTTACCTCAACTAATCTATTGCCTATTATTGCATTAAGGTGAACTTCGCCACTTTTTGTCTTATTTCGTAGCCCGGCCATTCAAAAATATAAAACTGGAAAGTCATTATAATCACAAAGTCGTTACAACTGGAATAATAGAAATGTCGTGTAATCATACTCTTTACATTAAAATATAAATTTAAGTTAAAATTCAGTTTTGTGAGCCTCGAAATATCGATAAAAGGCTTCTTAAAAAGTTCGTATTTTTGGTTTATTTTCGCAGAGCTAAAAATTTGCTCTTGATTAGAGGCAACAACTTTACTTGAACGAGATTACGTTAAGTGATGTTTCCAGGAAATTACCCATAACCATAGCATCACTAACTCCTTTCCAGATTTATTTATGTACTTGGACAAATCTCATTGTTGCCACTTGACAGCATTGCCAGCCAATCGGATCACGTAAAACTGGTATTTTCAAAACTTCAAAGAATATAGCGCTGAATTTATAAGAAAAGCTTAATGCAATATATATTTTTGGTCTTTTTTGATGAGGTAAATGCATTTGCAAGAACACGGAAAGCATAGGAAAGCAGATTTAGGAGTTTTGCGTAGTGGTGCAGTTCTTAACTACATATATATGAACAACTGTATGCGCTTGCACACAGCAGAAAGGAACCGCTTGTCATTCATGCCCGGAAGAAGAAAGCGTTTTTCTCATATACAAACAATTGCTCAAAGATTGTGTCTAGTGTTGTTAAGTTCCTTATCCATCTTGCGAAATCATTTTACGATAATTGATGCATTATATATATATATATTAAAGCTAGAGAGAGTATCTGCGTTTCTAGGGAATTTTCACTCCACGTTTCGGCAACTTACCAGCAGATGTAGACTGACTACAGTGATGCGATAAAAGTCATCTGTCCCCCCATTATTAAACTGGCGCGACTGAGGACTTTTCATTTCTCCTTCGCGCCGATTCAGAGTTTATATCATGGATCATCGTTATAATATATTTGAAACACTCTATGAGAAGATTTTTGGCGCGAAACGGAGGTTTCAAACAAATCACCCACTCTAGTACTACTCGCGTCGCTTGAATTTCAATAATGAGCTGCAGGAAGAGAAAAACAGTGGACGGATATTATGGTAGCAAGTTTAGGAAGTCTTCTCATTCAGCTAATCGGAATTTGTTCAATTTTCCTTTTATACCCCCTATAGGATGGGTTAGCAGCTTTGATTAAAAGCAATAAATTTAGATAAAGGTAGAAAAGCTAGGAGAAAAGAAAGGGAAAGAAAGAGATAAAGCAAGAGAAAAGAAAAACGAAATGAGAGATGTAAACGAAGAAAGAAAGAAAAAGACAAAAAATGAAAAAGCTCTAAGCTGCGAGAAAAGTAAGAAAAAAGAAGAAAAAAACTATAAGGATAAGAGAAAGAAAGAAAGAAAGATCAATAAAGTCCGAAACCGGAAGTCTACGTGGTCTTCGTTCATTGGAGCCAGACAGGTGGTAGCCCCGGTGTAATGTGGGAAGACCGGAACTCCAGCAACAAAAGAACATCATTTAGAAGAACAAGATGGCGGACGCAGTCGTCAACGAAACTCTGGCAAATATAACAGCGGCCGCTAATGAAACGGCTAAAAATGCCACGGGTAGAGCTGCTGCTACCCCCGAAGGACTATTCACTGCTTATTGTGGTTTGATCATTATGGCTCTTTTACCGATATTTTTCGGTTCTTTTCGGTCTGTAAAAGCTGTCATTCAACAGAAGGTTAGAACCACCACACACTCTCTTCCTCAAAACCTTTTTTCTTTTTCTTTAAATCTTTATTGCTCTCGTTCAATTCATTTTGAAAGGCTTTACAGTGTGTTTATCTATTAATACAGCGTTAATAGAAAGAGAAAGAGAGAAAAGCAGTTTTCTTTGGTCTGGAGTTTAATTTATGCCAAGGGTCGTAGATAAGACACGTAAGAGTTCAGAAAAATTGATAAGATTATGTTTTTTTTCGTCTTTGTTTTAGGAATCGGGTGAAAAACCTGAGAGCATGACTCCTAAGGATGCAGCTATGTTTCCAATCATCGCCAGTTGTACTTTACTGGGACTGTACATCTTCTTTAAAGTGAGTTCTTTTTATGATTTACCATCATTCTTTGTCAATCGATCTTGTTTTATGTGGCGGAAAAAATTAAAACAAGAACAGTTATTTTTTAGTTTGATAAAGAATAAAACAACGGCATTTCGATTCTGAAGGCAAATTATAACAATTTATTTTGGGTTTAACCATCCACGTGTATTTGTTTAAGTTATTCAAACCAATCAAATCCATCTTTGGTGGTAATGTTTTAGGGTTTAATAAAACATTACCACCAAAAATTTTTTTAAATGTAGAACTATATTATAACTGCCCATATAATTTATTATTCAATGCCCTTTTATTTTTTAAATATTCCATTTCTATCCCATACATTTCTCAATTTGTTCGGAAGGTACCTCTAGTATATGATAAATCTTTCATCTTAAAATACATCATATCAAAGACTATGAGATACTATGCTTTTTTGTCAGATATTCATCAAATTATTAGACTAAAGTGGTTAGTTGTTGGTGGTGAATGATAGATACTTTTGAATTTGTATGACACCGCTGTGTTCCTTAATTATAAACTCCATTTTCTCAAGGTTAACATCATTTCATCCTCAAAATCGTATAATAGGTAACAGAGGAGGGTGGCTAGGAGCTAGAG